GAGAATAGCTCTGGGCGTGTGACGGATCCTACTTCTGGCCCAGGGGACTCAACCATTGCTGAAGCTAGTCCGGAACCCAGTGCAGAGCAGGGAGTGGGGAGGTAAATGGGAGAGAGGTTTTTCCCTAAGGGGGGCGTTTTTGATCCATGTGGTAGGCCGCACGCAAGTACTTATCTTTCGCCGACGAGGGCTGCTTCCCACTGGTTCTGGGTGGCCGTGTGGACTCTCTGGTGCTAGGTCTCTCCCGGTGTGGAAAACGCACCTCACCAGCGCCGCCGCTTGTCTGCCTCACCGCTCACCCACAAGCTGCTCAGGCCTGAAGGTCTCAGGCTCTCACTGGCTCAGGTCTAGCAACTCCTCGCTGCTTCTGTACTGTCTCACCCTCCCCCTGCCACTCAGTCTGGTTCCTCAACTCTGCCTTTGATGTTCAGGCCTCCCAGATTGCCATATATAATGGAATCACTTGTTTTTTTTGGGTCTTTGTTGTAAGAGGGTCCATCTGAAGTGTCTAACTACTCCGTCATCTTGGCCCCGCCTCCTCAGTTTTGTTTCTACTGTAACTGATATCTTTTTAAAAAAGTATTTTTTATTTATTGCTGGTTTATAGAAGTGAAAGATTTCCAAGTAAGTGCTGAAGGTGTGCTGGGTTTTCTTGCTGTTTAAAGTAAAATTCTAGAGGAGATTGAAATTGAGTTAAGAAACAGTAAACAAAAGAAACCAGGGCCTGCTGATGAAAATTCTCAGCTTCTCCAGATGGCAAAAGATGCTAAACTGAAGATATTCATTGTCAGGAAAGCGTGTTCTAGGAAAAAGTTCAAGGTGTGACAGTACAACCTTTGCCTAAGACCTCAGAAAGATTAAAAGATATTCAGTCACCTTAGAGCCTTTTCAAGAAATGAATGAGATGCCTCACAGACCTTCTCAACCAAACCAGAGGACCTCTCGAAGATTAAAGGCCTTGTCTCTCAACCACCTCAGCAAGAGACCTAGGTAGAGTAGGGATTATTGGATGTGGCTTTTGTCTAACGAAATGAATCTCTTTGAAATCCAAGGAAGGTCCCCAAAGTTTCTGAGAAAATTATTTCATCAGAAATACTACCAGTTTGGACCAAAAGGGACAGATAAAGCATAAAATGAAAGGAGGCTGTCAGACTTTCAAAATGATACTGGCAGGAAGAATGCTGATAACACTACTCATCTGCAGGCCCGTTGGACTTTTATGAAAAGCAAGGATCATTCAGAGGGTGGGACAAAGAACTCAGAGGGCAGAGCTAAGAGACAATGGAGAATTATTCTTAGGCCTTGAAATCTAATCAAGAGACCCTTGACATTTTCTTGGCTGGATTTGAGAACATCCATGGACCCGTTTGAACTCAAATGTCTAAGGCTATTGTCCTATGGCTGTCTCACCATTGTATGTCGGTGATTTTTCTCTTTAATTTACAGCTACACAGATGGAGCGAAAGTATGCCCCAGGAGTTGTATTTAATAGATATTACCCAAATGCCTCATGTACATCTGGACCTGGTTTAGATGATGATATTTTAGACTTTGAGCAGATGCAGTAATGGGATAAGAGTTTTGGGGATCTTGGAATAGAAGAATGTATTTTGCATGTGGGAGGCACGTGAATCACTAGGGGCTAGCAGGTGGACTGTGGTGGACACACACTAAGGTGACCCTCAGTGAATCATGCTCTGTGTATTCTTGAGGGTGGGCAGGACCTGTGACTTGCTTCTAACCAACAGAACATGGCAAAGTTGATGGGATGTCTCTTTTGATTGTGTTAAGTTATATGAAACTCCCTATTAGCAGACTAGAGAGATTTTCTCCCTCTGGCTTGAAAGAAGCAAACTGTCATGCTGTGACTGCTTATGGAGAAGGCCATGTGGAAGGGAACTACAGGTAATCTTTAGGATCTGAGGGCAGCCTCTGGCCCATAGCCAGCAAGCAGCTGGGTTCTCAGTCATACCTCCACAAAAAAATGAATTCTGACAACAACCTGAATGATCTTGGGAGTAGATTCTCCCCAGTTAAGTTTCCAGGTGATGACACAGCTCAGCTAGCAGCTTGATTGCACCCTTGGGAGACCTAGAGCAGAGGACCCAGCCAAGCCATGTAGAGGACCCAGCTGAGCCATACCTGGACTTTTGATCTACAGAAACTGTGAGATAACAAATATGTGTCGCTATAAACTGCTAAGTATGGAAATTTGATTTTCAGTAATAAAAAATGAATACACTCCTGATTTGGAATGAATTACTCTTGTCAATTTCAGTAATGACATCCTTATTGCGAATTTAGTGGTCATTTCTCAGTATGTATTTTTGTCTCCTTTTCTTCTACATTTAAAACTGTCGATTTCTCCATCTTTTTGGAAATACTCTTTTATATTTGCTTTCCCTCCTCCTCCTCTAACTTCCAGAAACCCTAGGGAGTCATCTAGCCAGAAACCTGGGGTTACCTTTGACTTCTCTCCTCCATCCAAATCAATAATGAAGTTCTCTTGTTTCTACTTTATAAATGTCTCCCAAGTCCACTTCCTTTCTCTATTTCTATGGTCATTGTCCTACTTCAGAACATATTTTTATTTTGCTCAAATTATATCAACAGTGTTGTGCTCCTCCAAGCTTTTATACCCACACAACGACAGTGCTGGTTTCAGAATGTAAATATGCCTCACCTGTAAGCCTTGTCTCCCTGAGGAGACTTCTTAGAGTAGTGAAGGAGAAGAAGATGGGACATCGACTAGAGGGGGAAGAGAAGGAAATGAAGATTTGTTAACTTAAATTTAAATAAGTTAGAAGGTGTGAGTAGATTTATGAACTCAAGGAGGCGGTGAAGAAGTGAAGACCCAAAACAGGAAGGAAATAAGTTATTTCCAATAACAGATAGAGCTCAGGTGGGCAGAAGGAGATGAGGTCAAGAACACAGCCTGAAGAGTTAGGTCTGAAAAGGAGAAGAACGGAAACCATTAAAAGACCACTCCCCCGCCCCCACACACACACCAAAAAAGAAAAAAAAAAAGCAGTGTCGTGGAGTCAATTCTGAGTTATAGTGACCTATAGGACAGAGTAGAACTGCACCATAGGATTTCCAAAGCTATAAATCTTTATGGAAGCAGATTGCAAGCCACACTTTCTCCTACAGAGCGGCTGGTGCGTTTGAACCACTGACCTTTTGGTTAGCAACTGAGCGCTTTAACCACTGTGCCACCAGGGCTCTTCCCATTCAAAGACAGAAGAGGAAAAAAAAGGTGAAAATGGATGAAGATACAGCTATATTGAAAAGTAAAAACAAGGGAAATTGAGAAGATGATGCATTTTCTCTGTGGCAAGGCCATATGCTGTGAGTGAGGACAAGAGAATGGATATTGAGGTGGGTTGAAAACAGGGCTTTGAACCCGGTTTGTTCAGGTTTGAACCCCTGCTGAAAATTTGCATTTCTAACAAATTCCCAGGCAATGCTAATGCTGATGGTTAGGGACCAATTCTGAGAACCACTAGTAAAGCAGTTGTTCTCAAAATTTATTATACATAAGAATAACCTGGGGATCTTGTTAAAATGTAGATTCTGTTTCAGTATATCTGGGGTGGAGATGCACATTCTCAGCGGGGGTTCAAATGAGAACAAACCGGTTCAAAGCCCTGGTTGTAAACATGTGGATTAGCTGCTAGGGGAAGCAAGGAAGGCTGCCTAGCATATCCGAATTAAATCTCATTGAGTCTCTGGCAATTTAATGCAGTTAAGAATATGGGCTAATTACTGTAAGCAGCCATCTAAGATACTCCACCGGTCTCACTCCTTCGGGAGCAAGGGAGAATGAAGAAAACAAGATACAATTAAAAGATTAGTCCAAAGTTCTAATGGACCACATCTCCACGGCGTCCACCAAACTGAATCCAATACAACTAGATGGTGCCCAGCTACCACCACTGATTGCTCTGACCCAGATCACAACAGAGGGTCCCGGACAGAGCTGGAGAAAAATGTAGAAGAAAATTCTAACTCACAGAAAAAGACCAGATTTACTGGCCTGACAGAGACTGGAGAAACCCCGAGAGTATGGCGCCCAGACTCCCTTTTAGCTGAGTAATGAAGTCACTCCTGAGGTTCACCGTTCAGCAGATTAGACAGCCCCATAAAACAAAATGAGCCTAATAGGGCACAACAGCCTAGGGACAAGGACTAGAAGGCAGGAGGGTACAGGAAAGCTGGTAATAGGGAACCCATGTTTGAGACGGGACAGTGTTAACATGTCACAGGGTTGTTAACCATTGTCATAAAACAATATGTGTACTAACTGTTTAATGAGAAACTATTTGTTCTGTAAACCTTCATCTAAAGTACAATAAAAAAATAAAAATAAAACAAGAATATGGGCTAAATTAACAAACATTTGTATTTTTTTATAAGTGTACATACAATCATTAGTTGATTATCAAATAGCATTTCTATTTGCAAAATTGACTTTTTTTATTAAAGAGTTTTAACTATTTTGACTGTATAATTTAAATGGATGAATTTTAATGATAGTTTATTTTTCTGGTGCCAGTGGAATCCCATTAAGAGCACAGAGGTTGATTAAAATTGCATCTGATGGTATCAGGTAATTCTTCACTACCAAGTAGTTTCACAATATTCCATTCAGGAAAATTACTAGGAAATTGGTCCTAAATTAGGCATTAATATCTGACTTGATGACAAAAGAGGATTTAAAATTTAGAAATTATGCTTCTAAAAATCCATGCGTATAAAGTCTGCTTAAGTACGAGCTTGCAGAACAGGCACCTGGGTGGGACTCAACGAGGTCAGACCCGCTGGCTGGATCCTCTTCTAACTGTATATTCACAAGATCTGTGATCTTTCCAGATCTGCATGTCCTCATGTGAAATGAGAGCAGGGCTGTGTGCTTAGAGTTCCCGCTAACATTTAAGGCTGTAATGCTAAATAGGTATTGGAAAGAAATTTCTACCCTCCTTTCTTTTTTATTATTATAGGAAGCTGTGAGAACATTTAAAAAGGCATTGGACGTCTTTGCTCATTCTGATAAAGGACCAAATGCTGTATTGGCTTCAGCAGATTGTTTGTATCACCTGGGTCTTTGTTACATGGAAGAAGGCAATTTACAGACGGTATTTTGTATATTTAGGACTATGGAGCATAGGCTATATGTAATTTTAGAGACTGTTTGCTCACATTCAGCTCTGTTTCTGAAGGCTATCTAACCCATTGCTGTCAAGTGGATCCCGACTCATAGCAACCCCATAGGACAGGGTAGAACTGCCCCAAAGTGTTTCTAAGGAGTGGCTGGTGGATCTGAACTGTGGACCTTTCTGGTTAGCAAAGCTCTTAACCACTGTGCCACCAGGGCTTCATCTATGCAGTGACTAGTTCAAAGCATCTTTTAAAGCTTCACAGTGTTATGTACCATTGACTTATTACAGTCAGTCTGTACCCTGCAATTCTTTGTACATTGTTTCATTTAATCAATACTTTGATGCTATTGCTTTGATGCTTGTTTATTATCAATATACTAAAGACTAATGTGTGTTTCCTACCAAAATAATAAACCTAATTGTAGAAAACATTATAGCAAAATAATTTCATCACATTAATATGAATTTATTTATTAAATCAGTAAGTACTTTAAATGGAGTGTTTCAGTGTAATGGAAAATGATTAGGATAACTTTGGCTTCTCTTATTGACTAAGCAATTGAACAACAACTTCAATCAGGTTGAAACTGGTTATTAAGATGGGCAGTTTCATTGAAAACCACTTGATTCAATCGTTATGCATTTATTCAGTCTTTTGCCATTTTACACAATTTCTCACTTAAGAATTATCAATGACATGGTAGATATGTAAAATAATTAACATTATACAATGATTAATATTGGACACTTCACAATTCCATCTCTGTACATGTACATACACACACACCACACCCATCATTTCAACCCTTACATTTAGTACAGTGTGCTAAACTTGCATATCCATAACCTTGAAAAAGAGTTGCACTTGATTAGTTATTCCATTAAAAAATCCAGTAAAAGACCAAATACAAAAGAGAAAGATTAGTCCAAAGGACTAATGGACCACAACTATGATAGCCTCCACCAGACTGAGTTCAGTACAACTAGATGGTGCCCGGCTACCACCACCGATTGCTCTGACAAGGATCACAATAGAGGGTCCTGGAGAGAGCTGGAGAAAAATGTAGAA